TTTTTTGTACCAGGAATCAAACTCGGGACCTTTTGCTTGCCAGGCAAGCAGCAGAACCACTGAGCTAAATCCCCGGCCTATCCTTTATATTTTTATTTTGAGACAGTCTCATTAAGTTAATCCAGTGTCCTTGAACTTGAAAACTTCCTGCCTCAGCCTCCAGAATAGTCAGGTTTACAGGCATGTCATCACCTGGCTTCAACTTATGAATAACTCAAAACTCAACAATAAGAGATAAATAATTTTAATCTATTTTATAATCAACATTTTAAAAACAGGAAATAGATTTTAAGACTTTCATGAAAGAAGATATAAAGACAAAACATAAGCACATAAAGTACAATCAATACCATTAGCCATTATTAACATGGAAATTAAATCATAATGAGTACCAATACATCTATTGAAATAATTTTTTAAAAAATACTGACAACACCATGAGTTGACAAGGATATTGAGCAAGTGCACTCTCATGAATTCTTACTGGGAATGAAAACAGGCTTGCTACTTTGGAACATTCTGGCAATTTCTTTCAGATATATATATATATATATATATATATATATATATATATATATATTGACCACATGATCCAGCAATGCAACTCCTGGATGTTTACTTTAAAGAATCAACAAATTGTGCTGACACAAAACCTGCTTTACTGATAATAGCAAAAAAGCAGCTTTACTGATAATTGCACAAAACTAGAAAAAATCTAAATGTTCTTCAGTAGCTAAACTGTGGTATACCCATACAATGGAACACCATTTAAAAATAAATAAGAACAAACTGGATGACCCAGCCTGAATGAATTTTAAAGGCACTGAGTGAAAACAGCCAGCCCTCAAACAGTTACAATCTGTATGATTTTATGCATATGAAAAGGGCAAAGCTACAGACAGGGAGAAAAAATTAATGTTTTCCAAGTGCAAAAGTGGTGAGAGGACTGGACTACAAAAGAGCAGAATGAGAAAAATTAAGATGGAACTATTTTTTTATCCTGACTATGGTGGTAGTTATTCAAATCTATACATGTACTATCACTTTAAAAACTGCACACTAACCAATCAGTATGCTGTATATATATTTTTAAAAACAAAACAAAAAAATTTCTATCCACATCAGTAAAGAAACTTTAATGAATAAAAGATTGATGCTTTGTAAGTCTTATTGTTTGATCATATTTTTGATATTAGTTTTATTTAGGATATCATATTTCATGAATGATGTTAAACAGTGAATAGGTGTCGTAACATGAGAGATTTGTCTGCTGTTATCATTTTATCCACCAAGCAAAATGCCTGACACATAGCAGTGATTCAAACACATCTGTTAACTGAATCAATGTTTCACAAAATAACCAACCCTCCCCCAAGAAACCTGCACTAAATAATTTATAGTGTGCTTGATGCTTTAGAATTCTTTATGAAAAACATTCATTACCTCTTATTAGGTTAAAACTGATCTGAAATTAATTATTATACAAGTGGTTATCACATTAATGAATTTAAACAGATTCCAGAGGAAAATCTCCACAGGTTATTAATGACATAGCATTTTATTCAAAGAGCTATTTGTAATGTACAAACACTGTTCAGTGAACAGGTCAGGATTCTAAGAATTTCTTAACTTTCTTTGAAAGACCTATATTGCTTTTTATTTATTTCTATTTCATTAATGAATAAAACAAACCACTAAAGGCATCACTTACAGCTAATCTCTGCCTGAATTTTCTTTACTACATTAGATATAAAAACTAGTTAATTCATTTCATCCAAAACTAACTTCCTTTTTTGGAGACAGAAAGTAATTACAGATTATCAAAGAAAGTTTTGATGCATGCTACAACATGGATAATAAACCTTGCAAATATTATATTAAATAAAAGAAGCTAATCATAAAGCACTATACATGATCCCATTTGTACAAAATGCTCAGAATAGGCAAATCTATAGGCACAGAAAGTAGATTAGTAAATAGTTGCCTAGGTTTGGAAAGGGTGGACGGGAGGGACAGGAGTGTAACAGCTAATTTGTGTGTGTGTTTTTGGAGAGGGGATTAAAATGTTCTAAAATTAACTGTAATGATAGATGGTGCACAACTCTTTAAATATATTAAAAAGCATTGAATTATACTTTATATGAGTGAATTGGATGGCTCTTGAATTGTATTTCAATAAATATACTTAAAGTCACCAGGAAATGTTTCCAAGATAAATTTATATAGTTAATAAAATAATTTTTGATATGAGAATTCATTATCAGCATCAAATACTTAGCCCTAATAGAACAGACTGTATTTTAATGGGTAAATACAGTATATATTTAAATATGATATGGCCTTTACTCGAAAGTCTATCATTATGTAGAAAAGGAAGTTAAAAAGTTACATTATTACATAGCACATAAAACAAGCTTCTCATTTACAACTAAGATAATTCAATGACATTTAATTATAATGTGCCACATAAGGCTAGATTTTAGCAATCTGAAAGTCATGCAAGTTTAAAAAAAAAAAACTGTATGGTCCAAGGGTCAAAATTAAATGAAAAAGTACTTAAATAACAAAAGAGGCTAATTATATTGGTCTAACTCTTCTTTGTCTCAAAAAAAAGTTCTTTCTTTGCCAAGCTAAATATAATAGTCTGTGAATTATAAGATCAAGCAAGCAAACTGTATGTTTTCTAAAATATGAGTATCCTTCATCAAGTTTTATACTTAGGGCAGCTAAAAGACCTATGTGGAAGGATCAGCATTAAGCCCAAAGGACAGGCAGTGCACAGCAAGAAAGAAAGAAATTCCCTCGTGTCTTTTGCAGGTCACTACCAAGGACCATGTTAGCAGATCCACACCAGACCCTTAACAGGCAGTTCTGCTGCTACCAGTAATTAGCTTGGACAGCTCTGGCTCCAAGAGCAGCAGCAAGGCTACACCATAATGAGCTCAGCTGGGATTAGCAGGACAGGGCAGGGAACCAAGAGAGCTCAGGCATTCTGCATTGCGTACGTATCTGGGAGATCAAACAAGGATGGCTGGCTAGGTTATCCCCTCTCCACCTCATTCCAAAAATGAAACACGGCAGTGTCTAAAATACGGGCTAATGAAGAGCGACACCTCCAACAGATGAGAGCCACATTAATTAACACAATCCCTAGATCATATTATACTGTTTCTGTTAGAGCTAGCAAATGTGCAACTTGTTAATGCACAATACATAATATATATATTACATATATTATATATATATATATATATATGAAGAGAGAGAGAAGGAGAGGAGAGGAGAAAAAGAGAGGGGAGGGGAGTTTAAAGTTTCGTAAGGTATTTCTCTAATGGCCTTTAAGTCACAAAAATTTCTCCCAAATGTTTATTTAAGTCCTTATTGTTTAAAAAGAAACTCACTTTTGAATCATTAGCTCCTGGTTCTCCCTTTTGAAATAAGTCAGTTCATTCCATACAGCATCGGAATCTTCTTGTTGAAGTTGTTGGGGATCTGCTCTCTGTATTTTTCTGATATCAGTCCTATTTTTAAAATGGAGTTGTTTTATTCCTAATTTGTACATTCCTTAAAATTCAAAAATATCTATGCACCAAATTTTCTCCAATTTTTAATTCAGGCTCACAAATTACTAAATGAACTGCCTAAAATCTAAGAAAACAGAAATTAAAATTCTATACCATAATTTTCTAAAGCTAAACTGTTACCATAGAAAACAAACTTTTAAGCAGACACATGAAATTGTTAAGTTTCTCTCATTCCACCTAGAATAGTAGTAATAAAACACAGATTATAGAATTATAACATTCTCCAAAAAAGATTAGAAGCAATCAACTGCCATCTAATCTGAATGTGGTATAGAGGCTCTACCTTAGAGCATACTATTACTAGTGAATTATGTCAGAAAGTACATTTCACTTTTGAAGTGATTACTGTAAAGTTAGGAGAGCAGAGGCCATGGCTAGGACAAGCTGCTTTATCACTGCTTTACTGACATACAATATGAAGTACTTCCTGTTTATCAAAGGGAAAAAAATTATGTGACAATTAACTGTATCTTCAAGTGATGCCAGTGCCTTTTACATTTTCATTTTCTGTACATCAAACAAACTCCTCATTGTTATTTTTTTAAAATGCTGTACTGGCCCACCTAGAAACAGTATTTTTCTACAGAACAGACCAATGTGTATAATCAGTATTGCCCTAAAGGATCCACCCTGAAAGATGAGAGTGCAGTAGATTTTCTGTACTCATTTAGTCCTTTGCCCTTTGTTGATACTGTTAACAAGGGAGCCACTTACGACTAACCAAGATCTAAATACCTGTTCAGAGCAACTGAGCTGAGACCGCAATTCATTCAGATAAGCTGGGAACAAACTGATGGATAGTAAAGGTCTTCAAATCACATACTAGGTTGAAATAGTTTTAAGATGGTTAATTATATATGTGAATTTCATTTTTCTCTTGTTTTTCAGTTAAAACGTAAATACTTTTTCAGTTATAAACATTTTAAACACCACTATTTTATTTATTTAAAAGCAGTTTTTCAATCATAGTGTATCAGCTAATTTTGCTTTAAAATATATACTTTTACTAAGCTATTCAATTGAGAGTAAAAATGTGTACAATAATTCATACTCACTGTTAATGACAGCTGCAAATCATAGTAAAATCTATAATTATGGCTAGCACATTTTGCTGTTTTCGTTTGTCATGTTCACCATTTAAAAATTCCTAGCAAAAATATGACCACCAAATAATTTCTTTAAAACTAAACAAAAGCCATTAAAACACCTATATTATGTTACTCCATTCCATTGACTATTTAGGGAAATGTCTTTATGAGCTTTGTAACTCACATGCCACTGCCTTCTTCCCACTGTTTTAATTGTTCTTTTACTGCTCTGTAGTTGGTCTGTAACATCTGTAGTCTTTCTCTGCGTTTTTCATGGGCTTCTCTTAGCTCATCATTTTCTTGACTCTATAGAACACAAAAAAGCAAGTATACAACTTTGAAGAAAGCATAATATTGGTACAACATTTCAAATAAAAAGTTACCCATCTAAATAAGAAATTTGAAAAAAGGTATATAAACATGAATGCATCTGTAACATTTATGTAACCAACAGAAAGAAAAGAATTCCTTAAGTCAAAGAACAGGTTTGCTTAATAAATTCAACCTACTCACTGCATTTTTTAAAAGCTGCTTACACGATTTCAAAATTTTGCTATTTTGGTTTCATTCCTTTCTCTTAATTTCTATACACACAAATATTGATAAGCCTATTTTATGATGTTTAATTTTTTCTCTTTTCAACAGCACAAGGATTTGTCCATACATAAAGGGTAAATCTTTCATAAAAACGTTGTAAGGCTGTTAACCAGAGTGGGACCAATCCTCCAGGCCATGGATTCAGGACTGATACGCAATAAAGCAGAACGACTACACAGAAGGGAGACAGTGACCCTAGATCTATGTGAAAAGTAGCTGAATTTTATCTTTAGAAGTTCTACCATGGAGAACCAATAGAGGAGAAATAGGCCTAGAATTATATTATTAAAATAAATCATATAATAGAATGTCTGAATGAGTCTTTGTTGTCTCAACACTTAGCCCAAAAAATTATACTCAATTATTCCTAACTATATAGCATATAAGATAAATTTTCATTAGATGTAACCACAAAAAAACTCACAAAGGCCAAATTCAGAGTTCTCAAGAGATCTATTTATACTAGTTATGAACTGTTTCTCTAAGTAAAACTTGTAATTTCTTGAGTTTTTCTACCATGAGAATTTCAATTTTAATAAAAAATTTTATTCATTCTTCTATGACTGTACTTATATGTTTATTTGCTGGGAGAAACACATACTCTTTAAGAATATAAGCTTTGTCTTGTTAGTGGTATAATCTTAAGAACACTCTTTAAATTACTTCAATTTATTCTCCTGTAAAATATTGAAAAGAAAATAAGTTAAAATAGGCAAAGGCCTGGCACTGTACGTGGGCTACAGAAGCACAAAGCAAATTTAGCTTTTTCATTCTCTGCCTCCCCACTAACTTTTAGGAAACACTATTTTCTTCACTATTTACCTGTCATCTGAATAGTAAAATAATACTCTATTTTAAAGTATGTATTCCATCACATTTCTATCTGTGTCAGCAGTATGGGTATTCTGTCATTTTACTGTGAATATATTTCTAGTAAAATTCTCAAATAGTTATGAGGATGTACTTGAGTCTTAGTGTACTAAAAAGTGTGCCTGATTAAAAAACATGAAAAAGGGCCGGGGATTTAGCTCAGTGGTTTTGCCGCCCGCTACGCAAGCTCAAGGACCTGAGTTCGATCCCTGGAACCAAAAAAAAAAAAAAACATGAAAAAGGCATAACTAGACAGGGGCATTCAGAATAAATGTCACCCCTAAAAAGTCTTAGAAGATATGCAAAATCACAGCTGCAGCAAAGTTGCTAGAAAGTATCATGGTTAAATATATGAAGGAGAAGTAAAAATTAGAAAATCCAGGTTCTATTTTGTTCATCTGAACTGAAAAACCCTGTAAGAAGAAATATGAAGTGTTCCAAAAAAGTCTAAATCTTCGTTCCCAGTTACCAAAAGTTATTTTGAGAAAGCAATTTAAATTCAGTGTTTCAGTTTCTCCATCTTCAAAATAGAATGTATTTATACCTCTCTATTTAAGGTATAAAGAATGTTTTTATTTAAACTAGACTTTTTCATATTAAGTGTGATAATATAAATATCACTTCACTTCTTTGAACTATAAAGGCTCTAATTTTATATCAGTGAAATAAATGAATAATTTAGACAACCAGAAGATCAACAGCAATGTTTATATCTTGTTTTAGATGCCAAAAGTACTGTAAGTATTTTATGGGATTCCTTAAGAATTAAAAGATTTATTAGGATTTTAAAAGGATAATTAGAAATTTACTAAATTTGAGTCATATGTAGGAAAATGGATTCACCTTGAAAACATAAGCGAAATAAATCAGACACATAAGGTTAAATACTGTATGGTTTCTCTCATATGAGAAATCCAAAACATAAATAAGGAGCAAAATAAAAGATATATAAAAGGAAACTGAGAGAGATAGATCTACTACAAATGGTAAGGGAACCGAGAACTGGAGGGAGAGGGGAAAGGCAGGAGGGGAAGGGGACATAAAAAGAATGAAGAAGTGTCATGTATACACATACCAAATACCACAATAAAGTTGTTGATATGTAGCATAAACATGTACTAATAAATACTTTATAAAAAAAGAAATTTGCAGACCGTATTAGAAGAGATTCATGTAAAAACATAATTTTTAAACACATAAACTAAAATGATTATGTTAAAGACTTCTACAATAACTTGCCGTAATTATTTTCATGGAATCAAAGCTCTACAGCCATAAACTCTTGTTTTACAATAAATTTCTTGAAAATTATTACTCCCAAACCCAGATTCTATGTTACAATCATGGGACAAGCTGAGCTTTTTATTAATAATGACATTATTTTAACGTTTTTAGTATTACTTTGGCTATATCAATCATTGATTTTTATACCAGTTGTTTTCTCTAATTCTCAAATACAAAGAAATTTTATTACGCCATTAAGCCAAAAACTAAGACTTACTAAAAATCCTGAATCCCATAAATCACTTATGATATACTATGTCCTATACTAGGAATATTAAATAACAAAGCACTAAATGTTGCCCCTTCTAATTCCTAAGTCTTCAGTGTTAAATGTTCAATATTAGCAAATGGTTTTGGTTTTCCTACAGTCATTCATATAAGTAACTCTATTAAATGATTATAGCAAAACACTTTTATAGATGAGCTTTCTTCTTGAATTTTACTTGCCTCTTATTATACCTAACACTAGAGTATTTATGTAATTCTTATATAAGTATTAAAATCTAGACATACAGTCTAGATTGGATACATACAGTATCCAATCCAAAATAGTGCTTTATTTGAGAAATATTGCTATCAAAAACCTTTTAATAAAATCAAATATAAGGACAGATAAATATGTGTTTTATATTACTATTACTATATTTCCTAAAAGAATACACACAAAAATATTCCATGGGCAGCCACTGAATGATATCTTTATTCAACAAATCTTTACTGATTATCTTTTATGGATTTTTAATTAAAAGAGCTAAACTAGAGGCTCTGACTTCTATCTAACAAACAAGTCTGAATGATTAAACATTAGAAAATAGAAAATTATATCCACTTCTGTCCTCAAAGATATCTGCAAATTATATTTCTGAGTTCATAAGAACAGAAATGATTCTTGAGCTAATCTTCTGGTTTGGTCAGCAGCACTTTGATGAGAGGAAGGGGAATTAGGAGAAAAAATTCTGTTCATAAAGCAGCAACTCCCTCTCTTGGGAACAAGATCAAGGTTTTAGAGAAGTGAACAAAAGTAAAATACCAAAGATTCCACTATGGGATGTATAAAGTTTATGTATAATCTTAGAGCACTGAAAAAAAAAGACGTATTAATTGTACTCAATAGACAGATTAATGTTATTAAATGGCACTGAAAAGTGTCAATAGAATCAAGTTGCAGAGATTCATGGCATTGATGATTTAAAAAATTAGAAGAATATCATAAGATTCTCTGATGTACAGGTTTCCCTATTTTATTTTACAAATTATTTCTTTTATAAGATTCCATTTTTTCCCCATTAACTTTATTGGTACATTTTAGGTATAAAATACAGTTACATTCATCATTGGGATCTTGTACCATTACATGAGTCTCTTGGT